ACAATCAACAAGACATAAGTAAACAATCAACAATTTAGCAGACATAAATAAACAATCAACAAGACATAAAATAAACAACAATCAAGAATTAAGGCACTTGGGTATTTACATGATGAAATAAAATAGGATAAATAAATAAGTATTTAAACAGGTGAGGTAGTGCGGTGTAGTGCAAATAAACAGGGGAAAGTGGAATGTGCAGTCTGAGTTCAGAGTGTGTGAGTGGAGGGGATTCTGAGGATATGTAAGGTACGTATACAGTATTTAGTTTTTTCTTTGGTTAACTTTTCATAACAGTTTAAATAAAACACAAAATGCTCCTAATTTTGGCCTCAAAATCTCACAAAGCAGAGAATCTATGTTTAAAATGAAGTTATTATTTTGGGCTATTAAATCTGTCAGATAGTAACTGCTTATTTATACATTTTATACATTTTTTATATTGCATTTTATATTGCTATTTTTGGTATATATATGTCTAGGTTGTTCCTCCTTATTATTGTTGTTGTTACTATTGTTACTGTGTGTATGTTCTGGCTTACACTGCAATTTCCCAGCTTGGTATCAATAAAGTATATCTATCTATCTATTATTAGAGCAGAGTGCGATCAATGGTAATTTCATGTAGGAGTCAGTATTTGAAATGATGAGTTGTAATTACTTTTATTAAAAAATGTATTTATTGAATATGCTGTATTGAAATATAGATAATTAAGTCTCCAGTGTGACAGTATATCCTTTAATGTAACTGTGATTTCACTGTGTCAATTTACTGTTGATGTAACTGGCATCAACCACAAAATTTGCTTTTATTCAGGACACAAAACCTTTGATATTTACATTTTATCTCTAATACAGTCAGCCACAGACAGCATATTACATTAAATCTTAATTTGCAGTAAGTACAACAAATAAACTGCAACATTTTGCATGTTTTTTTTGTTTTTTTTACTGCTCCCATACACAATAAAGGACAGTGGTTGTGAAGTTATTACCAGTTGTTGCAATGCTGCTCACAATGCTTGTTAACACATGTTGCATTACTTCAGTGATCTTTACGCTTAGTAATAAGTACTGAAACTAATATGAAGTGACTGTATTTGGAGGAATGAAGATGTGATTTTGGTAGATTTACACTTTAAGGTAAGAATTTAGTTTACCAATTTGGCTTTTTGTATTAAGAAATTAATTGCACATTGAAACTGTGAAACACTGAAAAACTGAGCTAAAGCAATAATATAATATCATAAATGCAAGTAATTATTAATCATTGTGGATCAGAATTAGTTTTTTGGCCAGGTATACACAGATGGATACAACAGATAAACAAAGACAACAATCAAAACACAGAGAAACAAATGTGAATATATATACTCATCATTTATTGCATGATGTGAATCTAATGCTTTGGCCCTCATTCACAGTCACCAGATCTCAACCCAATTAAACACCACCAACACCCCTGTCATAAAGATTTACACTATAAAATAAAATGTATCCTGAAAAATAAATGAATGCATTGTGAGAGTTGAGTTTTAATAATTATTTAACAAATTGTTGGTTCATTTATATAGTTTAGTTAATTTGGCCTATTCATTTCATTATTTATTCCATAATGCCCTTTAAATCCAGGCCTACCTGCCACAGCACAATGCAACATAATTTAGTTTGTTATCTGAGTCACATGTCTCATCTGTACCTCTTTTTCAGAAACTCCAGATACTTACTGTCCATGACATCAATACCTGTCAAATATGTGTTTTTATTTATAAGGTATATTCAGATCATGAAAACTTTTCAGAGCACTTTAAGACTTATTTTAAATTTAATTCTCAGGTTCACTCTTATCCAACGCGACAATCTTTAGATCTTCATCCCCCAAGATTTTTTTTTACGTGCAGAGGTCAATTTACTATTAAATTTAGGGGTACCAAATTAGGAATACTTTTTTCCCCATTGGCAAAAAACTCATATAATATAAAATGTTTTCAAAAGATGTCTAAAAGCCCATTTAAACAGCTGTTTTAAAGATTCTAATTACACAACACAACACCTTTTATATCTGGTTCATATTTTGTTTTCATATTGTTGTTTTCGTCATTATAACTATGTTGATGGTATCATTTTTTTCTTATTAATCAAGTTTGTTATTACTTTATGTAGTTATAATTTTCTCCTGTATTCAATTTCTGCTCCTTATAACTATGAAGTTTTAGGTGGATGCCTTAAATAAGCCCATCTGGGTTTTCTGCCTCTCCCTGCACTTTACACTATTTGTCCCATCATGGACAACCCCTGTCGTCCTCCTCTTTCACTAAGCTGAGGCAGCTCAGGATCATCTTCAGCTACAGACGGACCCCGAGTCATCAAGCGGTTTGGAGGCTCGTTTGTACCATCTGCCATCCAGACTCACAACGCTCAGCTCCCAGTTCCTCAAACGCCCGCGAGCACAAAGACTGGTTTAAAACTCCTACTACAACGCACAACCTTTCTGCAACTATTTACTATTTAATTTCCACTCTAGTAGTTTACGTAGTTTTAGTTTTAGTTTTAGTTTTTAGTTTTAGTCAAGTTTTAATTTCTGCCTCATATTTGTTGGACTCAATGTCCTTCTTGAAACAACAAAATAGTGTACATACTTTGAATTTATAGTTTGTATATCTTCAATATTAATAATATTAGCTATATTTTACTGTGATATTCTTTGTTCTCTGTTTATTATTTGCACTACTTTGCCCTAGTTGCTGCTGTGTCAAAATGATGAATTTCTCCTCAACGGGGGATAAATAAAGGAATTAATCTTATCTTATCTTTGTCGTTTTTTTAATGTAATTCCAATTCGTCAAAATAATAATAAATAAAATAACAGTGCTTGGATCTGAAACGGTATTATGGTTATATATATACTCACACAACCATAATATACATATATTACCGTATACTAGGTTAATGTTGCCATGACTCCGCTTAACGTCACTGGCTTCGGTTGCCATGGTGCTTTTTTGCTTCAGTTCTCCCGGATGTAGTCCCCCCACCCCCCCACCCCTCCCTCACCGTACATATGGCGTCGGAAAGTGAGACTTCGGCTAATGTTACACAGTTTGTCTGAAGTTAGTCCGGCTCTGCTCTCCTGCAAAGACGGACGCTTCACTCCACTCCGCGGCGCAGCTGGAAGACGGTTTTCCCGGCAGTTTCTGGGTGGTCAGCACATTTCAGTTTTATTAACTGAGAGTTCTAAAGCGGACGCGTTAGCCGTTCAGCTGCTAACGGTGGTAACGTTAAAGAGAGAGAGAAGCTCCTCCTGTCTGCTACATTAATGCTCTAACTGTGAGTGTGAACGCGTGTTTTCACATCATGGCGCGCGGCGACGGGTCCTTGTGGAAGTAGTCTAAACAATCTAAAACACTTTTTAAAGGTTAGTTTTCATGTGTTCGGTTTGTGTTTCTCGTGCTCAGAGCCTTCTGAATGGAAAACACAGGACACAACCGGGTCCTGGTAACATCGGTTGCTTCTTACCGTGAGCTTAACTCTAAAACTCAGATCTAACTTTAAACGTTCACCTGTTCCCTGTTCCCTGTGCACCTGTGCACTGAGTTGCTGCTGTGTCTGGCTGCAGGCAGGAGAGGATATTGTCTTGTCTCCTCCATGACCCACTTTTTTGCATCCATTCCTCTTATCCTCTGGTCTTTAATGCCCCCCTCACCTTTCCCTCAATATGTGTGTGTGTGTCAGATAAAAAAATAAAAAGTAGATAGAGAGATATAAGAATATATAAGTGATGTGTAATACATAGTAGATAGATAGTAGTAAAGATGTAAGATAGATGATAGTTAATGTGTGTGTTACTGTGTGTGTGTGTGTGTTATAAGAAAATAGAGAAATAGATGTTACATAAAGATAGATAAGATGTAGATAGAATAGATAAGAATAGATATATATATAATATGTTATGTTGGTTGTGTGGGTGTGTGTTGTGTGTGTTACTGTGTGTGTGTGTGTGTGTTGTGTTACTGGTGTGGGTGTTGTTGTGTCGGTTATGTGTTGTTGTGTTGTGTGTGTGTGTGTGTATCATAGTATAGCTAGTGTATGTGTGTGTGTGTG